AACTTTAAACTTTTATTGTGCTAAAGTTTTTTAATAATTTTAAAAAATTTTTTTAACAAAGCTAATAAAACAAATCTTAAATTAAATATTTTACTTAGAAAATATATAGCTGAAATTAATATTTAAAATTTTATTAAAAAAATTTAAATTTAAAAAAGTTTGCAAGCAAATTTGGCTGCAAAACAATTTAAGAAATAAAAACTATATTTTATATCAAATTCTGGCTATATTTTTTTTTACAACTACTTATTTAAATTGGCTCAAATTTTTATTAAAGATATATTTGATATTAAACTACAATATATTAAAAATTTAGCCAATTAGAATTAGTAATTTTTGAGAAATTATTTAAGAACTATAAGTAATTTTTTTAAAAAAATTACTTTTAGTTTTTTAAGTAATTTTTCAAGAACTACTAATACAAGTTGGCTAAAATTTTAATATATTATAGCCTAATATCACATCTATCTTTAGTAATATTTTAGCTAATTTAAATTAGTAATTTTAGAGAAAATTGTAGCTGAATATTAATATAAATTTTAATTTAAAATAATAAATTTTATTACTACCTCTAGTTGTAATTTTTTTATAATTATCAACCCAAATTGGCTAAAATTTTTACTAAAAATTAATATTATATTGGTTTATAATATATTAAACTTTTAGCCAATTTGAATTAGTAGTTCTTAAAAAATTGCTTAAAAACTATAAGTAATTTTTTTAAAACACTTACTTATTATTTTTAAGAAATTTTTTAAGAATTACTAATCCAACTTGGCTAAAATTTTAATATATTATAGTACAATACTATATTAATCTTTAGTAAAAATTTCAGCCAATTTGAATTAGTAGTTTTAGAGAAAATTGTAGCTGGATATTAATATAAATCTTAACTTACTATATAATATAAATTAGTATTGTTCACTGAAATATTCTAGTGGGAATTACTGGAACTAGAATATTACTGAACTTAAATGAATGGAATTAAAAGTATAGTAGCTTTTAGTAATTGAATATTACTAGACCATTCTAGTAAAGATTTTTATCACTAGAATAAAGATTTTAGTGATATCTAATAACTTCTAGTAGCTTCTAATTGGCTGATACAAATAAATCACCAAAAAATAGTGAGCAGATATTAAACTAGTATAAAATTTAAATAAATAAAGAGTCAATTACAAATTAAGAAGCTTTTTGCTCATGATTCGATTTAAGCATAATAAGTTTTAAATTCAATAAATTTTAGAAAAAATAATGTTGTAAACTATTCAAATGAATTATTAGATGTCCAGACTAGAGTTGCAGGTGAAACTAATTAATTTCACCAGTTTTACTAGTTTCACCTGATGCACTGTTGAATATTAGCTTCATTTATAACTCTAGTTTTATCATCAGTGTACCAGTTTTACTAGTTTCACCTAGTGCACCATCAGTGCACTATTGAAGATTAGTTTCACCTTCAACTCTAGTTCAGACTAATAGATTATATCTATCAAGTATTTTATTTGTACTATTAATTTTTATAATAGTTATATACCAAAATATTATCATATAACTTTAAATAATAATTAAATATTTAATTTTAATTACTAATGATTGTATATGATTGAGTGCCTGTATATTTGAATTAACAATGATATTAATCAAAGTTAAATTTAATATAAATGAGTTGAATTACTAATCAATACTTTTTTACTCTTACTAAAAATTGAAAATATAGTAAAATCACAAGAACAAAAATAATAACTACTAGAGCTAACACTTCTATTTAGATTTTGAAGGTTAGAGCTTACTTGAATTATACTTTATTTCAATACACAAATATCACTTTTATACTTTTACAAGGTTTTAAATTCAAACTTATTCACTAAAAATATAATAAAGCAAAAATAATTAATTAGATAAATCCAATTAATTAAATTTATCACAAAGTAAACTTTGACTTTACAAATAAAATAAAACCTTTTATTTCCTATTTTTTTGGGCTTTACTTTTATCTACCAACTATGTTGAGTATATATATTTATATAAAGTAGAAGACAAAAGTAGAATAATAATAATAATAATAAATTATATAGTCTAAGCTCTTCACAATATATATATATATCTTTATCTTTAATACTTTATAAAATGTACTCTTTAGAATAAGTGTTTCAATTTGTTGTTCAGTAAGCTTTGAGATTATATCAAACTTGTAATTTCTAATTTGACTAATTTTATCTACACCAATTGCTTTAAACAAATTATATATATTGTAGTCTCTTTGTGTACTTTTTTTAAAACTTTTCTATTAATATTAGATCAATATACTATTATTTCATTATATATTTTTGATTTGACTTTGTTTATAGTTGTTTTGTTATTCCATAGTTCTTTATTCAATTAGTTTTCAAATTCTTTAGTATATTAATACCAGGATAGTATTTTGGCTTAGCATGCTATTGTTGCTTGATTTTTAGCATGTTTTGCTTTATTATAAAGCTGAACCAAACTTAATGATATATTTTTATTACTTTCTTCTTTGCTATTACTAACTTTAACTATTTCTTCATTAGGAATAATTAATTCAGCAAGAATTTCTAAAAGAATTTTTTTTTTTTTAAAGCTTTATCAGAACCATTAGAGCTATTAGAGTTGAATAATGCTATTGGTTTGGTAGGTTTGCTAATAGTAGGCATAGCTAGATTTCTAGAATCAGCAATTGTAAAAGTAGCAAAAGCAGGATTACTAGAGTTAGTGTTGATAACAGTAGACATAACTAGATTTCTAGAGTCAGTGATTATAGAAAAAGTAGAACTACTAGAGTTAGTGTTGATGATAGTAGACATAGCTAGATTATTAGAGTTGATATAGTTGATAATTATAATAAACAGTATAGAAGTATATTTTAACAAATATGCTTTAGCAATTGCTTCAATTGCTTCTTTTATATTTGGTTTAGTCTGATAATATTCGATCTTTAAATTTTTTAATGATGTATTTTTGGCTTTTATAAGTATATTCATAGCAGTAGGTTTAATAAAACTAATTTGTTTATTAGTATTTTGATAAAGTCTTTTTGTTTTAAAGTCTTTTCTAAATTTACATTTTAACAGGTAGAGCAAAAATATTCTGATTCAGAAGCCTGAAGATCAGTATAAAAAAAGTAATAGTATGTCAAAACTATAATTAGGCTTTGAAGAGTTGAACTAATTTCAAATATACATATTGTACAAATATCATATTCATTTGGATTTGAAATCTTTTCAGGTGTATTTTAAAAAATAACTTTGAATATAAATTATTTTAGTATTTCTATTTTTTTTTAATATTATAAAGATAGAAAATAAAACTATTTGCAATTTATATTTAGGAGTTAAATATGCGTCGCACTACTGCGATATTACTTGTATATTGCATCTTATTGATAGGCCAATAGAATTTTAAAATTATGTGTAATATAGCACGATTAGGAAGATTTAAAACAAACGTTCATTTTTACAAAAGTTATTATAACTTAAAATTTCATATATGAAACTATGCTTCGCTTTCTAATAAAAAAAATTCCTTGCAAAATTTTACTATAAAGTTCACTTCTTCCACATCCTACCCTATCTAACCCTAACCCTAACCCTAATACTAACTAACAAAAAAGCAGGTTATTTATTTATGTTACATATAAACAATAAATAAATATATATAAATGCAATATATAAGTGCATTGCAAAGTGCAATGCATACATTTATCCTTATATTTATATGATTTTTAACATATTTTGCTTTATTTAATATTACAGTTGGTTGTAAAATTTGAATAATTATGAAATCTAGTTCAAAATTGTTTAATATAGCCAATGTTATGAGTATTTAAACTATGTTAAAGAAATGAGATTGCTTTGAGAATAATAGAACTTGGTTAATAGATATGCCTTTGATTTGTTTAGAGATTGGCCAAGAGTTGGCTGCCCTAATTAACTATATTTTTAAAGTACAGTATGTAATAATATTATTATTTGTGCAGTATATTCTTTTATTAAAAAAACTAGTTGTTTTAATAGTATTGATTTATTTGAATTGGCTGAGTTTTGAAATTGTTGTAGCCAAATTTTTAGACTTGAGCTATCAAAGTCTGGTGAGTTTATAGTATGATCTAGTTGTTGTTGTTGTTAAATGTTAAGTAATGTGTTTATTGTGTGTATACAGTATTAGGGTGGAATTGGGCGTGAAACTTAATATAAATAATTATTTTTAACATATAAAATATATATACAGTATATTATATAAATTAATATTTAGCTTAGTAATTATACACTTTAAATTTCTAAACTAAAATTAATAATCTAAATCTTCTAAATATAGTAATAAAAACCATACAAAATAACAATCCTGTTTAAAATACTGTATATACCAAAAAATTTAATTTTGGTAAAACATTAGTGTATATACAGTATATATAGTATATAGTTGTCTCAAAAATTTTTAATTTTTACACAATAAATTTGAGTTTGTTTTAAATACGATTTTTCGTTTTTTTGCGTCGAGTTATACAGCTAGAACGATTAGCTGATATGCCCTGTATTTCGAACAAATATCATCATGTCATCATTGCAGAATCGATTTTATAAAAAAATTATGCGATAAATTGATATCACTTATCAAATTTTCGACCGATTAATAATTTTGTTATAGAATATTTTTTTGTAAGGATTATATTTTTCACACTAAAGAATCTATTTTTTTTATTCACTTGATTAATCAGATATATCTTTAACTATAATTATAGCTAGAGGCATCGTTGTGAGCATAAATAAACCTGCTCCAGAAATAATGTAGAAAAATTGTTCATTGTAATGTACTTAAAAAAAAAAAATAAAAAAAATAAACAATTGTAAAAATACAAGTGTAAAGAAATCAATAAATAAAGATAAAAATAATGAAGAAAGTTAAAAACAAGTAATATATACACATGTAGTGATAAGAATTTTGTAAATTTGGAAAAAATTCTTTTTTTAAAAATTAATAATGAACATTAATAAACTACAAGTAAAAATACCAACTTGAGAGTAATCTGATCAAAATAATCCCACGACTTGGATCATTTTTGTTACAGACATAATTAAACACCAACAGGTTCAGCTATGGCCTTACGTCTTCTTCCCAATAAAGTTGCCTTATCCATATTTAATTCAAAATTAAATCGCTTGGATCCCTCTTTAGAATTTTTAGCAGAAGCGGTTGTTATTCCAGCAACCTTTCTTGTGCCAGTTTTCATTTTTATAGACTCATTTGCTGTAATGGGATTTACAGAGGCGTTATTACTGATCAAAACCTCACCTAATGATGGTTCATCATCAGAAACGTCGTCTTCATTTAAATTAATGTTTAATTTTTTAAACGGATTCAAAGCACCAGCTTTCTGTCCTCCACCACCAATCTTGATCTTCCTTCTTTTGGAGCTCTCTTCTTCCAAACGATGAACAGCGCAACTGACATCTAATGCCTCTCTGAGAGTAATACCCGGTGAAATTACGTCTTTACGCCGAGGAACATCACCAGGTGTATTCAATGTATTATATATAGCAAGTGAATCAAATGACACAGCCGATTTTACTTCAAACTTTTGGATAAAATTATTATAGTAAATTATATATTGAAACATAATAAATTTAAAAACACAGGACTATATTAATAAATAATAAATTATTTACCCCATCCTTTACCCACGGATGCTCGAAGAATTGATTTATCGTATATCGTTTGTTAGGATCAACAGAAAGAAGATGAGTGATCAAATCTTTAGCTAATAAAACATATAATGAGGTACATATAATGAGATTAACTGATTTTGAATCAACATAAACTAAAGATTATAAAAGGATTATAACTTACCTGAGTCAGAAATACTATCCCACCAAGGGCTTAAAAATGTATATTGTCCTTTAGCGACTTTCTCAGTCAAATCACGAATACTTTCATCATAAAATGGAGGGAAACCACATAACATAGTGTATAAAACACAACCAAGAGCCCACATATCAACACTTTTGCTATATCGTTCATCTTTTACAATTTCAGGAGCAGTATATCCAACGGTTCCGCAAGGAGTCATTGTTTGTTCATTCCACACAACTTTTGATAGACCAAAGTCAGCAATTTTAACCTTTCCAATACCGCCACCACCTACGCCTGGAATAAATTCACCCTCATCTTCTTTTGGTTCATCAAATAGATTAGGTTTTGGCACTTTTGAAGGAATGAAAGGAATTGGTTCAAAAAGAAGATTTTCAGGTTTTATATCTCTATAAATAATAATAATAAGTAAAAATATGAAATATAAATAAAATAAAAAACATAATTTAAAGTTTAATATTTTTTTTTAGAACGTAGTAAAAAGAATTTAGATAAAGATTTACCTGTGGACAACACCCACTTCTTCATGCAAGTATCTTATTCCTTCAGCAACTTGAACGATGACATGCCGTGATAATTGCTCAGAAAAATAAGTGAGTCTTACAATTTGATGGAACAATTCACCACCTTCCAATAATTCAAGAACTAAATAATAATAATCGTCTGATTCCGAAAATGATTTTAAGGTTACAATTGATTTATGTTTCAGTTGGCGCATTATTCTGACTTCTTTAAGAATGTTAGCACGCTAAAATAAAAAAAAAAAAAATTTTAAATAATGAGTAATCTTATTAAAAAAAATAGATGATGCTTTGATTTGATTGGCAAAGACAATGGATCAAAAAGTTTAATATTGACGTTCCATTCTCTTAACAGTTTAACGTAGTGTACACTACGTTCAATATAAAGAAAGACAATTTTATGAACGTCAACTCTTCAAAACAATTTGAGACCAGCGACATTTGCATTTATCTTCAAAGTGTTCTTAACACTGTATTTTATTTCTTTTCGGAACGAAAAACTACCTCAGTTGCACGAGGTTTCATATCACGATGAAGATGCCTCTCCTGAAAAACGATGCCGAAATTTGTAAGATGATTGTTATTAAAGATGGATCTTTCATGACGGAAATCTTATGCAAGCATCTTTCGACTAGTGCTCGTTAAGTCGTATAGGTATTGCACGCGAAATCCTTTGCCGTTATTAATAGCAATTTATTTCCTACCTGAGCGTTATTTAGCTCACGCTTTCTTACAACTTTAATGGCAACTTTTTCATTGGTAACTACGTTAGTTGCCTTGTAGACGTTACTAAACGCACCGCTATAAAAATAGGGAACACAAGGACCGTGTTAAAGAAAGTACGGATGTAATCCCCAAAGCGAACGTCTCTTTAAGAAAGCAAAAATGCTATTGCAATTGTCAACACGCATGATAAGGTATTGACAAATGACACCGCCATTTTTTTTTCTTTTTCAAATATTCTTTCTTATTTTTGCGGAATAATATATGAAGGAAATAGGTTTCAACATACTCTCCCATTTTTTGCAATAAACGGTATCTTTCCAGACCTGGGTAATTTGGCAGTTTACTTCTTTGTTCACGTTCTTCGGCTACTATTCGTGCTACTGCAGTATCATTGTCAACTTTTTCTTCAGTGTAATAAGGTACTTTACTTTCATTTTCAAAAGTAATATTATTTTGAGCCGTTGAATTTTTGTTGGCTTGTTTGCCGTGACGAATGAAATGCTTGAATTGCTCAATCATTGGAATTGTTAAACTGATCCAAATATGGAGGAAATATTTTAATTTAGTCGATCTCTTATTTAAATACTATTTTTCCAGAAAAATAGATAGCTTTCAATTTTTTTTTAAGTCAACACAAAAAGAACGGTTTTGCCAGTGGTGAAAGTAAAGAAAAAATTAGGATACCCTAAACACAATCTTTTCGTATCGAAATTAATTCTGCGGTTGGTACTTATATAGTATGTTGGCAAATACATGATGTAATACTGACGTTATCAATCCCTATCAAATTCAATTGTAAAACGGGTCACAAAAGATTCATATCCATATCCTTTCTATATTTTAAAACATTTTATGATTTTCTTAAATGGGTAAAAACGCATGGGAAATAAAATACCATTGTCGATTTTCGGTGGATGAAAAATTAGAAATTGAACGAATAGGTTACCCGAAATATACAAATATTTACATTTTAGTTGTGTTGATAGGTTATAATGATAATTATCGTTATCTTCATTTACTAATCCATGAAAGCCATCTTTTTCCTGCCTTTAATGGTCATTGTAAAACAGTCTTTACCAATACAAATTATTAAAATTATTAGTACCGATTAAAAAGTAATCCCGAAAAATAAATTTATATATCCGAATATAAGCAACCTTTTATATATCCTGAAAGGTTGCTTTTTAAGTGATATTAAAAAAAAAAAAAAAAAAAGTTCTTTGAATAATTACTTTAATCAAAATATCGATATCTTTAAACCAATTATTACTTTGAACCACCTAAATGGAATAAAAATTAAAATTTTTAAGAGTTTCAAATAATTGGTAAGATTCAAAGAAGATACCAGATACGTACTGTACGTGCGTACGTACGTACGTAACTTACGGGTTTTCTTTTGGCGTTACTTCAAGACAATTCAATTAATTCGATTTTACGTATAAAAACTAATTGGGTGAATTTGCAGATTTTCTTAAAAAATTTCTGTACAAGTTATAAATTAATGTGATTATTTGATACGTATGTTGAATTTATACGTATAATATATGTCTAATATCGTTATACGTCAATCGAAAATCTATGGACATTAAGAGTTTAAAGCCGGCTGAATTAACGATTAGCGCGGTTAATTCTTTAACCACGGTTAATTACAGTAATTGCATGCCGAGTGCACTGACTAAAAGATCCAAAGGTCTTTGACGGACTTTCATTGATAATATAAAACGTGGGGTTCTTTTAAATACCTACGGCTCATTATAAAATGCGAAGGATGTGCGTACGTAAGCAGGGAAAAAATGTATTCGTGCTTTCCAATTTTAAGATATATAATTTATTATATGAACAATGACTTTTACCGTAATTAAAGCATGATTAATAATATTTTTATAAAGCTGATTATACTTTTTCTCCCTACTGCAGTACTGTACATACTTGAAAATTTCTTCAGGATATTCTGCATGGAGAATACTAATGCACTCTGATAAAGAACTACCGAAAAATTAATTGCAATTAATTTTTGTTATACGTCATACAATTAAAATCAATTAAAATTAATTATATAAAATTAATCGAAATCCAATTAATGACGAAATAATTGCATTAAACTGCAATTAAATCATATCGCGAAAGAGCATTGCATACAATACCCGGTGCGACCTGATTTTTTAAGCGAAAATTTAAAAAATCACATGCATTTACAGTAATTAATGTAATTAATAATCTTGATACGTATGCTAATTACGTAAAAAAATTGCCTCATTGTGACTGCGCCATCAATAAATTAATTGCCCTGATAAAGAACAGTAAACATGGGCATGTCTTATAATAGTTATACACTGGGTGACATGGAAATGAAATTTCCTCTTTATACCCAGCGATCTTGATACGTATAGTGACCGGGTATAAAAATCTCTATACACGTGGCGTCTTTGCCTTGAAAATCATGTTATATGGAACATATGATTTACTATGTTCCATAAAGTGATTTTCAAGGCAAAGATCCCACGTGGCTCTCGATATAACGGAGGCCATCCTTTGCTCCGTAATATCAAAAGCTCCATAATATCAAAATCTCATGATTATAGAATCATAAATTTGGCTCCATTATAATTCTCCGTATTAAGCAATATCCGTTATATCGATGGTCCGTTATATTGTGTATATCGATAGATCGATTCTACCCCAAAATCCTGACAGGGACAGGGCAAACTCCTGAAACAATCGGTCAACTAACTCTGCTAACTTTGTCGGGACTTTAGGTGTCGGGTAGATCCTTAAAGCAATAAAGCCTGAAAAAAAATTTTCAAAACCTGTTTAAAATCCCTAAATAATAAAATCCCGTTAACATATAATTTTAAACTGTTGAGACTTTTTTTTCCGGGATAACCTTTCGGTCCGACGTTTTATAAAATTTCAATCCTTAAAATTTGCGTTATATCGAAATAGAATCTCATTATGAGCGTTTCTCACGTATCTTTCTAGATGCGATTTCTTAATGATTAAAAAAGTATTATCAGGTAATACTATGTATATATTACGTAATATCAATTTAAACCTTAAAATACAATTCGATACTACTATCTATCCATCAGACTTTTTATGCATATAGACAATATATGCATTTACGTGAGGTGATTGAAAAGTTGACTTTAGACTATATCTCAATCATTTTTAAAGATACAATTTTAAAATTAATATGTTGATTCTGTAAAAAAATTTTATTGAATTTTAATTAGATAATTATTAAAAAAATTGGGTTTTAAGTTTATTAACTTTGCAATTGGAATTTTAAGTTTAAATTAGGACATTTTTAAAAACCTCACAAAAACTGAGTCGGGCCTTATATCCAATGTATATTATATTATATAAAAAAAAACAGTTTATATGAAAACCTCCTATTTATCTCAAAGCTGCACCCTAACCAATAGGAGTGGTTATTTATAACACTGATATAGATTATAATAATTTTTAAATTAAATTATATTTATTAAAAATTTTTATATAATACAAAATTTAAAATATAGAGGTGTGGCGACTTAGTGTAGTGGTCTAGTCATCACCCTCTCCAAGTGGCAGATCTAGAGTTCAAATTCCATGGATAACGATATTTGAAAAATAGGCCTGTGTTCGGTTGATGGCTAATGCTTATCGGTTGGATTTAATCTGTAACTTCGGTCACACCATCTAGTAATAGAAGCTTTGGCGCAATAAACCCAAGGAACTGGTATAACTGAAAACCCATTTGGGAAAACTCAAATTTGGAGGTAGCAGTGATCTTTGACAGTATCACAGGAAGGCTAAATTTGAACCAGGGCCCGAGATCAAAGAACCGAGTGACCAGGTCCTATGACAGAGGACACACTAGCCGAACTGCCAGGTTGTCACACTGGAAGAAAAGGACATATGCTTCAAAAGTATGGACCAAGAAAAAGGCATTCTTCAGGTATCTAAAGCCTGGGTAAACCAATTCTTCCAGGTTGCCAGCTGGAAGTAAAGGTGGAACTGATAAAGAATCTGGGTAAGAAAACGGTCTGAATGGGGTATTGGAGTTGTTGTGAACTGAATAAGGGCAAGGAATAAGTAATAGGCGTCTAATTAGAAAGGTTGGTGCTTGAGAAACGTCTATAGAATGACAGCATCCCAAAAGGTGGTGTAAGATATGAATACAGAATAGCAAGTCAATATGTACTAATTAGGAAGCCATTACAAAACATGCAGGTGAATACATGTGTGGGACATGTACTGCTCTGTTAGGTTTACCTCGAGGATAGATTAGCTTAAGTTAGTAAGTTCTAAGGTAGAGTGCAAATTCCTATGGGTAGATGCAAAATCCACAACCATATAGTAAGTAATACCTACGGGTTAGAGTTATAATGGAGGTAGTTAAAACCAGATGGTTTAAATAGGTACCCCCCTAGTTGGGGTGCAGGTACGGCAAATAGTATAAAACCTTCGAGTGGACTACTTAAATTAGGCATTCAAAAGGTGCACATGTGGCTTGATATATTATCGTTGTAACTACATTATAAAACTCTATTTACATTCTAATAAAACGTTCCTCAGGCCAAAGAGGTCCTCTTAATAATAAAAAAAAAAAAAAAAAAATTTAAAATAATAAACTATCTTTATATATTTGAAATTTATATAAATAAATTTTTTTTGTAATTATTTTAAAAACTAGATTAGATGGTACACTATGCACTTTGTGTCTCTTACTATAAAAATTGCTAATATCTCAAAACTTTACTAGAGTATAACTAAGAAAAAATGATCATCTCTTAAAAAAACACTAACTCTAATCCTAACCCTAATAATAATTTTTGAATTAGTTTATAATCAAAACTTGGAAAGGCACAATATATATGAAAGTACTATTTAAATTTTTTCTTATTTTAAAATTATTAATATAAGTTAAAATTTAAAATAAATATATATATTGCATACTGTAATATGCTTATATATCGTGTCTCAGATTAGTTTTTGCTAGGAATGCACTAGTTCTGAAAAAGACCAGTTCAGAGCCAGTCTTTCAATAGTCCCATAGTTTTATCGATCCTGATCTGAATTGGTCCCGGATCAGTTCTTGTAAGCAAACTGTAATATTCATATTACCTAATCAAATTGTTTAATTAGATGTAACACAAATTATATGATGTTTGTTTATATCTGACAGTAAATAATTACATTATTTAAGACCAATAAGATTGTCATTAAGGACTGTTTTGGGACTGCAGACAGACCAGAGCCAGAATCAAAAACACTATAATAATAGTCTCACTAGGACCGAGATAGACTAGGCTAGACTGGTGCATCTCTAGTTTTTGCCTCAGGTAATAATTAAGGTACCTCAAATATTGATTGTTATATAAAGTTTGTAACCTGTTGATCAAGTATTTGAAGTAGAGATTAGAACTAGTTTTATTTTTATTAACCAGTTTTATTAACTTTTTAAAAATTACAACCAAATATAAATCAGTTATATTATACCCAGTTAAATCTGGTTAATTAGTTATATTTAATCG